TGTGGTGTAGTGGTTAAGAGTTCCGCAGCCTAACCAAAAGGTCGGCAGTTCAAATCCACCAGCTGCTCCCTGGAAACCCTATCGGGTTTTTTAAAATTTGGGTTTCTCTCTGCTATGGCAGGGCGAGGTGTGGATCCAGCCACCAGGGGGCACTGCTGCCAAGTTGACACTGCCTCAGGGCCTGCATATGTGGGTCCACCCATCCATCCATCCATCCATCCATCCGTCCATCCATCCATCCATCCATCCGTCCATCCGTCCATCCATCCATCCATCCAACCAATCACTTCTCCATTCTCCCAACAAACAGCCCCTGTGTCTCTTCCATGCCCAATGCTGTTTTTGGCAATACCGAAAGCACAGAGAAGGTGAGGCACAGTCAGGAAAGGTATGGACGATTGCTATGCTGTGCTGTGATGGAGGAAGTGGGGTGAAGGTAGGGGCTCAGAGAATGGACAATCGCTGTCCAGGGGAGTCAGGAGGAGGGTTTTGAATTGACTTTACAGGATGAGCAGGGATTTGACTCCCACTCTGCAGAACCTGACAACTTCCTGCAGCCCAAGGGCAAGCCCACCTGTTACATAATCCCTATCACTCCCCTCTCTCCCAAGTTCACCTTGATCACCAGCTTCTGTAAGCCACAAACTCCAAGTCCTGGACTCCTATGCACAGAGTTGGGGAACCAAAGAACCTGCTTGCGTACAAGATGAAGAGGGGCTGTGTGTGCACCTGGACACAGCTTGGGGAAAGCTGAAGCTTTGGAGCCTGACAAATGAGGTCCCCACCGCTTCCCAGCTATGTGTCCTTGGGCAAGTAACTTTGCCCTCCACACCCCCAGCCTCAGTTTCCTCCCTGTACAATGGGGGGTTATAACATTTCTTACCTATAGTGCATATGGATCACCTGTCACCCCTCTCTCTGATCTATCAATTGTCATATTCTTTCTGTTGACCATCTTATCCTGTGGGGACCATGCTGTCAGCTTTTACATATAAGCAGGGCTCTCCCTGGAAGGCCTGCACACACTCAGCCTTGTCTTACTCTGGGAGGAGATTGCTCCCGGGTATTAATGTCAGAGTCACAGAATTTTCACAAGGTGGGTGGAACTAGCAAAAGTAACTCCAAGGGCCCAGAAATGAGTCATCAGGGAGAAGATGGGGGAGGAATCTTCACTCTTTGACCTGAAAAAGGTATCCCTCGGGCTTGATCTAGGAATTCAGTGGAATACAGTGTGGTCTGCATCCAGCCGGACAAGTCACATTCTCTTCCTGAGTATCTATTTCCTTATCTGTAAAATGGAGGTAAGAGTAGTGCCTAGCTGTTATGGACGTATTTCTGTGATCTGCCCAGAATTTTTTCTTTCCCCTAGAAGAGCAGCCCCTCCTTCTCTGGAGATCTCCTTTGTCTCCAACCATTGTATTTCAGCAAGGGCTGTATCCAGGCTTACAGTATCTTGTCCATAAGCCATCTATGATTGGCTCACAGGTGGACACCTGACCAGAGCCAGGCCAATCAGAAGACTTCGCTGGTTTTTTAAATTATTTTGAACTAGAACTGGGAAAACAGCTATGGCTGGGAGGCTCAGGAGTTGTCATTGGCCACGTGTCCTTCCTCATGGCAGAGTCAGTAGGTAGAGAGAAAAGCATAAAAGAGAGACGTAGAGAGAGAAAGAGGAAGAGAAAGGATGAGTCCTGGCAGTATTTGGGTCTCTGGTTCCAGCTGTGCCTGGATCCACTAACCCTCCTCATAGTTTGGAGGTTCATCTCTCCTTTAGATTCTGGCTGGCTGGCGTTGGGTTTCTAAAGCTACCCTTCTTTACGGGATGTGCGTAGGATCAAATGAGCAAAAGCGTATGAAGCACCCAGTCCAAGGCCTAACTCATTGCAGGCTCAGTAGGCATGGATTCCTTTTCCTTAATGGGCACCCGGCAGGGGTGGGGAGTTGGCAAGATACCAGGAAGATGTGAGGCATCAGTACACTTGAAGTAATGTGACTCAGAAGCTGGAATCAGGTGACTTGGGACCCCACAGAGCCCACAGGAGACCAGAATGAATGCCTAAGTGGAACATTTGGTGGATAGGGGAGGATGGCGCTGAGAAAAAGACAAAAAATTCCTGCCTCATCCCTTTGTTGGGGGAGGAATTGTCAACAGGCACCCCTTACGCCAGGGATGTATGCTGGGGTCCCTGGAAGTCCAGAGGAAGGCTTTCCAGAGGAAGGACATTTGAGGGACTTTGGGCTTTGAAGGATGAATAAGAGTTTGCCAGACAGGGGAAGTGCTAGAGGAGGGATGTTGGACTATTACTACCATCAACTTCTCTATGCTTCCGTTCTCTTATCTGCAAAATAAGGAAAGTTTTTTTTGGAGAATTATATGAGACAATGTATGTAAAGCACTTAGAACAATGTGCCAGCAGAAACCTGTGGTGAAGCACTCAATAAATGTTGGGCTCGTTATGAAAAGCTTTTATACTATCAAGTCCAATCCCCTTAAAATGATCATAGCTGTTACTATTTAATGAGTCCTTAATAATCTCCAAGCACTGAGCTAAATACGTTGTATGCCTTATCTCGTTTAATCCCCCAGATGCCAGTACCAGTACTAGTACGAATTGCCGTCCAGTTGATTCCTACTCATGGCGACCCCATGTGTGTCAGAGCAGAATTGTGTTCCATAGGGTTTTCAATGGCAGATTTTTTGGAGGAAGATTGCTGAGATTTTCTTTGAGGGGCCTCTGGGTGGACTTGCACTTCCAACCTTTCTGTTAGCAGCCGAATCATTAACCATTTGCTCCACCCAGGGACTCCCCACCAAGTAGGTGAGTACTATTACCCCAGATAAAGACAGAAAACAGAGGCTCTGAGCGCTGAAGTAACCTGTTCAAGATTACACATAAAATGCGTTGCCATGAAGTCCATTCTGACTCATAGCGACCCTACAGGACAGAGTAGAACTGCCCCATTGGGTTTATGAGGAACAGCTGGTGGATTTGAACTGCTGACCTTTTGGTTAGCAGCTGAGTTCTCAACCATTGCACCACCAGGGCTCTGAGATTACATGTAGCCAGTGTGAAACAAACAGAGCAGGGATTCAAACCCAGGTTTGTCTAATGACCCAGGCCCTTGGCCCAGGGACAGGAGGGGCTTACCCCAGGACACACAGCAAGAGGTGGGGGGATGCCAAGATTTCTTTATAAACAGACTCCAGGACAGTCATCTGGCTGGGGGAGGAGACGCTTGAGGTTTGTCTCACTCTCTTTATAACAACACGTTCATTATCGACATTAGAGAACGAGGGGGGCTGATGGAGGTCACTGAGGCACCTGCTAAGCCCTTCTCAACCCGCACTCGCTCTGACACCAGGGCCAGGGGAAGGGCTAAAGAAGGGCCGGACTGACCTCACTTGGGTGAGCTCTGGGCTAAGCGGGAGCTTCGAGACCTGGTCACGCCCTTTTCCCCTCCTTCCAGCATAGCTTCCACCAAAGGTCCTGGTAGAAAATTCCAGAATTGCCCGGTCTTCGAGCAGCCAGAACGGGGATTTTTCCAGTGGGGCGGGAGCGGTGAGGGGGGTGAGCTGGCAGCTGCCATTGCCCCTCCTCGGGGCTCCCCTCCTGTCATAGTCCCCAGGTCGTCCCCAGGGCCCCGGCTGGCCTTGGCTTCTTGGGGATGGGCGGGTCAGCCTGGCCCAGGGGAGCCGAGCAGGACGTTCTGGCAAACAGGAAATGAAACAAAGGCTGCCGCTTATCAGGCCGCCCCACGTTCCTTTCAGGTGATGCCCAAGGGATGCTGTAGGCCCAGAGGGGCTCTTGCCTGGGGAAGCGTCCCTGAGAGGACCTCCCCACCGTCTCCCCTCAAGGCCTCCAGCTACCCCTGCCTTCTCCATCAGTTGGAGGCAGGAGTGTGGGCCATTCTTCAGCTCAGGGATCCCTGTCCCCAGGCGCAGCCTCTGGGTTTCAGGAAGGGAAGGGCGTCTGTGCCTAGAGAAATGGGGCAGGGCAGGAGGGAAGTAGAGGGGAGGGAATGGTCATATTCACTCAGTCATTCCACAAACCGTAGTGGGTCACAGGACCCACTAAAGAACCAGCCCCAGTCCCTCTCTCAGGAACTTCCAGTGTAATGGGAGAGGTAGGCAGGCACCAGACAGGTGAAATACTGGGTAAAAGGTGCAGGGTGCAGGGGAGCTCAAGGAGTGAGTGCCCTTGCACAGCACCTGGCACATCAGTAGTCCTCAGCAGGTACTGTCTGAATGAAGGAATTCTGGAGTTGGCTGTGAAATCGGAGTGGGACAAGGTGTAGGTGGAATGGAAGGCCATTTGACCACAGGGAACAGCATGTGCAAATGCCTGGTGGTCTTTGTGGGGAGTGGACATTTGGGAGCAGCGAGGACTCTGGAGTTGCCTGGGCACAGGGTGAAGAAACTGGTGAGAAGGCTGGTCGGGCAGGTCCTAACGGCCTTGAAAGCCAAGCTGAGGCCTGGGCTTATTTTGCTGGCACCAGGAGCCTGGGGAGGCGGTTGGGGAGAGGGGTGGGAGAGGCAGGCCCAGTTTGGCCTGAGGCAGGGGAAGGAGAGGGGCCTTCGGCTCGGTGGCTTGGAGAGGCTGATCTGCAGAGACAGAAGCTGTGGCTTCTGTGGGGCTGTGCCCCCCTTGCCTGCTGGGCACTGGCGCCAGTTCTGCTGGTTGGTGGGGTGCCCCCTCCCCAGGCAGTGCTAATTTAGTGTCTGAAAGGTAGTTCCCACAGGCCCACTCTTCTCTGCGGGCCAAAGGCCATGCCATCCAGTCCCCACCTCCCCGTAGGTCAGTGCCCAGGGCCCTGACAATTAGGGCTGAATGGAGCGCTAAGATTTCTAGTCCACCCACCCTGCCAACCAGCAGCGCCTCAGGCAGTCCTTTCCGCTGTGTAACCACAGGCTGGTCTCCCCAACTTTGGCCTGGCTTTCCACTCCCAGAGGCTCCAAGGTACTGTAGTTATCAATACGTTGGTTTTATTTTAAAACAGTGAAAAGAAAAATAAATATCTTTGGAGAATAAGTGTAATGGGGTGGGTAGGGGAAGGGGGCTGGAAACTCCGGGGTGTCCTGGCTCAAGCGGTCTTGGGTGGGGGCGCCTGGGACTGGGATCCCCGTCGTCCCCAGGCCAGGCCCTGTTCCGTCCCCGCTGGGAGGTCTGGGGGCTCCGCCAGCCTCGTCTGCCCGCGGCTCCCAGGCCGGGCGCTGCGTCAGCGGAACCTGCGCGCCAGGATTAGGCCGGTGGCGCCCGCCAGCGCCGGCAGCTCGGTAGCGCCGGGTGGGGGCCGCGGCCCCACGGGAAGCTCTTCCACCGGCTGCCCCTCGGCTGGGACCCCAGGCCGGGCCCGGCGTGGTGACCGCAGCCTCAGTGATGGCCCATGTCCTCCATGCCCACGCGGCCCCAGACGCCCAACACAAAGCTCTCGATGTCGCACTCGTTGGCTCCGCGCACGATGCGGAAGTGGCCCCTCTCGCCCCAGGCTGGGCCCCACGAGTTTGCCGCCGTCTGGGGATGAGGAAAGGACGTGAGAAGAATGCCAGGAGGGCGAGGGGAAGAGACAAGAGAAAGAGAACAGCGGCCTCATGGCGCGCGGCGGAGGGACTCACCCAATATTTGAGCGTCCTTCCATCAGGCAGCGTCTCCTCTCCCCACCTGTAGCGGGGAGCGGGGAAGGGGGAAGGAGCTGATTCACGGTCTCAGGGGCCGGCGCCTTCCCCGTCCAGGCTCCTGCTGCCTTTGGTAATTTGGGTAAGACCCTTATGACCTGGGCAATTCTCTCTCCCTCTCTGCCCCACTCTCCATTTCCACATCTGTAGTGGGTTGCACCCAAGCCCAGTGTTGGGAGAAAGCAGTGGGAGGGGCTGGGCAGAAGAAGGGGGCACTTGGGCCTGGGTCCTCTAGGAACCCACACCCTGGGAGCCAGTTCTCTGGGACCTCACACATTTGCCTGTCATCCCCCTCCCTGCCCTCTGTCCTCACTTGGGGAGCCAGGGAGGGGTGGGTGCCAGGGACCAAAAGAAGGAGACTCAAAGTATGGGTAACTTAGAGGCTCCAAACCCCCACTGCAAAGAACATTTCATTGATTGGACAATTGAAATCAATTAGTCTAACATCTCCCACTACGTCAGATGTGGAAGCTTATGGCTGGGCAGGGGACCTGGACAGGTCACTCAGAGTGAGGCAGTGTTGGGACAAGTGCTGAGACGGGGAGAGGTTGAGCTTCCCTTGAACCCATGTCTATATTTCATGGGGCTTGTTTTCTTCCCAGAATGTAAAGAAGAGACAGTTCCTAGAAAACCTTCAAAGGCTCCCAACTCTCAGTGTGGCCCAAGGCAAGTCCCCACTTCTTTCTGAGTCTGTTTCCTCTCTTTGGAATGGGAGAGCAGTCCTGGCTTTGTGGAGACATTGTAAGGCTTCAAGGCCAGTGCAACCGTGCTGCCTTAGGCCTCCTCTATCCACCAAGCCTCTCACCCTGTGATCTTGACTGAGTGGGTCCCGTGCCTGCGGTACTGCTCTGGCCGCCCATGGCTCACTGGTGTGTGGCTGTAGATGCCGTTCTGGTACAGGAAGAAGTCCTCGTGCACCTCCATGAGCGCTGTTGGCAGAGGTCAAAGTGGGAGCCCACCCCACCCATCAACGCAAACAACAATGACCAGGTCTAGGGATGCATGCCCGACCCCAGGGTCTCTGGGTACTAAAATTTTAAACTGCTCTGTCCAGGTGCTGCTCACGGGGAGGGGACATGCCCCCTCCCACTCCCAATCCCACTGGACTTGCCGGCTCAACGCTGTACAGACCACTGTGCCTGCTATGCCCAGTCTCAAGCAGGCACAAGCTTCCAGAACCAGGAGACAGGGCTGGGGTATTTACCTTGGACGGGGCCATTGTCCATCAGCTCCTTCATGACCTCCTTCTCCTAGAGGGTGGAAGAAGTGGGGGCAGAGGATTCTTCAGGGACCAATGACCGACCCCTACCACTCTCCTGCCTCTAAGCCGTCACCCAAGTGCAGACTTACATTGGTGCCTAGGCGGTAGGCAGGAGTGACCTGGTAGATGTCATTGCCATGGACATGGCTGTTGGGGCAGTGGGAAGTGGCCTGGCGTTTGCCCCGACCCATGGCCCGGCTGTGCATCATGCAGCGTGGTGCAGGGCCCGCCTTGTCCCGCTCATGGCCTGAGAATGGGTAGCAGTGGTCAGATACAACCCTGGAGGGGCAGCAGGAGGGAGCAAGGGCAGAGTGAGCACAGTGCAGCATGGCCCAGGCCCTGCCTGCAGGGTCCCGACAGCCCCAGCCTCAGGCCTTCTGCCCTGCGCACACCCCTGGCTGCTCACCCTCTACGTCGCAAGAACCACCAGGCACCGTCGAGATGCCCGCCGCGGCAGCCCTGCTGGTTGTGGGTGTCACAAGACAGCAGGTTCTGGGGCGACAGGATGGGTGTCATGTGCCCCAGAGAATGGATTGAGACGCGATCAGATGCCACAGCTGGTGGAGGAGGCAGAGAAGTGGTCAGGGGGCTCAGGCCTTGGCCCTCCTTTCCCACGTCACCAGCCCGTGCCTTGGGCATACCTGCCGTGGAGAAGGCCCAGGAGCCTGCACAGTTCCCCTGGTCAAGTGGCTCATGGATCAGGTTGGGCCACTTCTCAGAAGCCTCAAAGGCCACGGGCAGCACCTCCCCTGGGCCCAGCACTGTCTGCAAAGGAAAGGTCACTCCATCTGCCTCCTGCTTCTGCCCTGGCCTGACCCTCTGGGGCCACCAAGAGCCCAGGGGCTTTTTCAGTTTGATCTTGAATCCTCCTGCTGCTGAGGGGTTGCACCTACTTTCAACTCTGACTTGAGTGGAAGAACCAAGCACCATCTAGTGCCTCCACGTGCCAGGTGGAAGGTGACTAGTCTCGTGTTACAGATGTGGCAGCTGAGACCGAGAACAGGGAAGCAGCCAGGCCAGAGTCACAAGCCTTTCCATTGTCAGCCCCTGCCTCTTTCCTCCTCTGCCCTCTCTGATCTGCAGCATCCTTCTTCCCACCAGGACCTTGGGCTTCAGGCCGAGGCTCCAAAGGGCAGGGGAGGGAAGAAGCAGTAGGGTCCCATGACCAGGCAGGCTGCCAATGCAAACAGCAGGAGGCAGAAAATAGCCAGAGGTCCAGGGGACTAAGGGCAGGGTCCGGTCACCCCAGCCTTGGAGAGGTCCCTCTGCAGGAAGCCCCACTCCTACCACCCCACCTCCTCTTTGCCCAACCCTGATGGACAGAAGATCCTCCAGCATGTGTCCCAGGCCCATCCTGCTGAAGTCGGCTTCCCCACTCTGTGGCTGTTCAGAGTTTGTTCCATTTCTCTAGAAGCCCCCTCCTCCCCAGGGGTTCCACTGAGTCAGCATCTGTTTACGAGAATTGCTGCTCTGGCCAGAGCTGGAGGAGTGGCTGTCCCTCCCTTCCCAAAATACCAAGATGACCTCTGGTCCTCTTGGGCTCTGACCTAGCCGTTCTGGGACCAGCAGCATTTTTCCCAGGCTAGGGAAGCCAGGGAGGGACTCATGCGGGGGCCACAAAGCTCAGGATTTGAGCATCAGTTCTTCCAGTGCAGCACATCTTATTACACGCAGGAAATGAATGCCCAGAGAAGGGGTGTGTCTTGCCCAGGACACACAGCCTGTTGGTGGGAGACAGGTCCAGGGCACAAGGTGCCAGGGTCCCTGAGGTCCTAGGTCATGGTGAGATGGCAGGCTTGTGGGCAAGAGTGGACTCACGTGAATCTCGTTCATGTTCATGACAGAGGAAGATGGGCGGATGGTGCCCAGGCGGTAGCGAATGCCCTCATCCAGGGTCATGCCCCAGAAGGCACTGTGGTTCCCAGCCTGCCACCTGAACGAGAGAGGATGGCAGAGGGTCACAGAACGGGCAGGGCTGAGGGGTCTTGGAGGTACATGCACATGGGTAGGAGGGATGATGCTGGCTAAATGTGACTAAACCAGTTGCTGTCAAGTCAACACCAACCCATGGCGACCCCACGTGTGTCAGAGTAGAACTTCCCCACAAGGTTTTCATGGCTATGACCTTTCAGAAGCAGATTGCCAGGCCTTTGTTCCGTGGCACCACTGGGTGGGTTCAAATCACCAACTTTTAAGTTAGTAGCTGAGTGCTGAACTGTTTGCACACCCAAGGACTCATGAATAAAATCTGAGTTTGGGTGTCTGCCAGGACATACATCTTGGGCAGAGAGAGAGAGTGTGTGTGTGTGTGCGCGCGCACGCGCGTGTGTACACATGCATGGGTGCCCCCTGTGGGTATTTCCAGGGCTCTCTCACCCGTAGTTGCCCTGGTTGATGGCATTGATCATGTCTTGGTCCACCAGGCATGGCTCCTGGTCACACTCCCACTGTCCTTTGTCCTGGCAAGTGCTGGTGAGAGAAGGAGGGAAGGAAGGGGGTCAGTGAGGATTGGGAACTCTCTGAAGGGAAGAGGCCTCAGAGGTCAACATAGGCCTGGGATTTTGGACCAGTGTCTATGGAAGAATCCCTAGATGATCCCATCCATCCTTGTGGCTTTAAATGTCAACTGCATGCTGGCAATTCTTGAGTTTTCATCTGCAGCCTGGACCTTTCTCTGAACTCCGGATCAAGGATCTTACTGCCACACAACATCGTCTTTGGGTATCTGACAACAGGTCAGACTTAACACATCCCAAACTAAATTCCTCCTCCCACTCCCAAGCCTACTTCTCCCACAGCCTCAGAAAATGGCAACCCCATCCTTCCTGGAGCTCAGGCCAAAAACCTGGGAGTCACCCTGGACTCCTCTCTTTCTCTCATGCACTGATCCAATCACTGGCAAATCCTATTGGCTCTGCCTTAGTATGTCCAGAGTCTGAGCCACATCTCATCCCCTTTCTGCAGCCATGATCTAACCACCTTTCACCCGGATTACGGCTGGAGCCTCCTCATTCTTCTCTGCTTCTGCCCCGGCCCCCACCCCCTTCAGTATATTTTTAACGCAGAGTGACCCTGTTAAACCTAAGTCATATCATGTCACTCCTCTGTTGGCTTTGCATTGCAGAGTAAGAGCCAAAGTCCTTACCATGATGGACAACAACAAAAAACAACAAAAAAAACCAAACCCATTGCCGTCCCTGCATAATCTGTCCCCTCTTGGATCTCCGCCCTCCTAGTCCTGGGTTCCACGGCTCCAAGGTGGGTTCACGTTGTTCCTCTGATACACCAGCCGTGCTCCTGCCCTGGGGCCTTTGAGCTGCTCTTCCTCCCAAATCCCCCATGGCTCACTCTCACTTCTTCCACGTCTTTATTCAAATGTCACCTTCTCAGGGAGGCCTGCCCTGACCACTCTATCTTAAACTTCAACCTCCCCCATACTTCCTATCTCCCGTCCCTGTTTTATTTTTCTCCTTAGCGTGTATCACTGTCTGACATACTATGTATTTAGTTATTTATATTCTGTATACCTGTTTCCCCATAGACTCTAAGTTCCTTGAGGGCAGCTATTTTTTGGTATATTCAGTACCTAGGAAGACAGAACCTAAACCCCCTCCCCTCCAAAAAAACAAATCCATTGCCACTGAGTCAATTCCAACTCATAGCGACTCTATAGGACAGAGTAGAACTGCACCCTAGGGTTCCAAGTCTGTAAATCTTTACAGAAGCAGATTGCCTCATCTTTCTCCTGCGGAGTGGCTGGTAGGTTCGAACCGCCAACCTTTTGTTTAGCAGCTGAGCACTTAATCACTGTATCACCAGGGCTCCTAAACAGAACCTAGTGCATAGTAAAGAAAAAAAAAAAAAAAAAAAAAAGTTACTGTCTAGTTGATGCTGACTCATGGCAACCCTATGTGTGTCAGAGTAGAATTTTGCTCATAGGGTTTTCAATGGCTGATTTTTAGCAAGTAGATTGCCAGACCTTTCTTCCTAGGTGCCTCTAGGTAGACTAGAACCTCCAGCCTTTCAGTTAGCAGCTAAATGATTTATCCATTTGCACTACCTGGAGAATCCTAGCATATAATAGGCACCCAATAAGTATTTGTTGAATGAATGAATGATTGAGGAAATATAGTGAAGTGACTCTGAGCACGGGTACTGGAATTCAAATGCTGGGTTCCAATCTTAGCTGACAAGTTGTGTGACCCCAGGCAAGTTATTTAAACTCCCTCTGCCTCAATGTCCTTGTCTGTAAAATGAGGATAGTAAGAGTACCACAAGGAGCTCTGGTGGTGCAGTGGTTAAAGCGCTTGGCTGCTAACCAAAAGGTCGGCAGTTTGAACCTACCAGCCACTCCACAGGAGAAAGATGTGGCAGTCTGCTTCCATAAAGATTATAGCTTTCTAAATTCTTCGGGGCAGTTCTACTCTGTCCTCCATGGTCGCTATGAGTCAAAATCGACTCGATGGCAAGGGGAAGAGTACCACTTTCCAGGGGTGAAATGAGGCGAGACTTGTAAAGCATGCAGCACAAGGCCTGGCCCATCTTAAGTGCACAAGGATTATCTATTATCATTGTTCTCATTACAGGAACCCCCAGCCCTTCCCCTCTCTTGAGTTTCAGACTTGTATCCAACTGGCCTCCTGATCGCTCCTCTGGGTGTGTGAAAGGCATCTCAAAATGACCAAGGCTGCCTTCCTTCCCCCAAACCTGCTCCTTCCCCGGCTTTCCTCAACTGAGAAAACAGCACCTTATCAACCAAAATTCTGAGTGGTCCATGGTGTCCCATTCCCGCCCCCGCCCCCGCCCCCAATATATCCAGTCCATCAGCACATCCTGCGGATGGTACATCATGGAAGACTCTTGAATCCATCTCTCACCTCTCCACTGCTGCTCCCATCACCTCTCACCTGGACCACAGCAATGGCCTCCTAACCTGGCCTCCCACCTCCCACTAATCCCACCCAGACAGCCTGCAATCCATTCCCTACCTACCCTGAAGCCAGAGAGATCTTTGAACAAGTAAATCAGATCGTGTGCTCTCTCAGTGGCTTGCCACAACACTCAGGACAAAACACAAAATCCTCGGCACAGCTGATACAACTCCTGGGATGTGGCCCAGGACCCCCTCCAGGTCCTCTCTCCCTGTTCACAACTCCAGCCACAAGGAGTTCAGCCCCACCTACCGGCTGCCCCACTCTGTTCCCTCTGCCCTAAGGTTAGCACATATGTCCCTTCCTCGGAGAGGGCTTCCCTCACCCCTCCCCACTCTAAACTAAGATCCCCCAATTAAGTCTCTCTTTTCCCTTATAACTGTACCCATTGCCTTCGAGTTGATTCCTACTCATGGTGACCCCACGTGTTACAGAGTAGAACTGCTCCATAGGGTTTTCTTGGCTGTAATACCCATTGCTTTTGAGTCAATTCCGACTCATGGCAACTACAAGTTGTAATTATACACTCATTTGTGAGTGTAGTTGTTCTTCCATGCGCTTCCCCGTTAGACTAGAAGCTCCAGTAGATCAAGGACTGTGTCTGTCCTGTTCTGGCTGTGTCTCCTGGGCTCAGAACACAGTAGGTCTTCAATAAATAGCTGTTGACTAATCAGGTGAATTTTAGGAATTCTATGATGCTTTTCCGAGCTCATAACTCTGCTATTACAAGATGCTAAATTGCCTCCTTCCAAGTCCGCCTGAGGCTCCCGCCTCCACTGTTGCCTTTTAAGGAGCCTCAAGAGGAATCAAGACCCAGTATGGCTGGGCTTTCCAGCCCAGGAGCTGGTAGGGCACTTTCAGGGAGGGCTGGAGGAGCATCTGTCGTCTGTCTTTGGGGCGGGAGGGAGGTCTCGCCTTGTCCTCCCTTCCCCTGCTGCCCTTGGGCAGCAGCCCCTCTCCGGCATCCCTGGGGGTCCGCACACCCTTGAAGGTCCCGCATAAACACGCAGGGACACAGCCACACCGAGCTGTCCGGGTGGGGAAGTGGGCTGGTCTGTCCTTTCCTGCCACCTCCTCCTTCACCCCAGGGCTGCCCAAGCAGGTCTAGACAGGGCTGGTGGCAGCAGGCCCCAGCATTCCAGAGGGGGGCCTCTGAGGCCAGACCCAGGGACCAAAGTGGGAGCAGGGTGTTAACCCCCCGGTGTGCAGAGACATGCTATCAGGACTAGCAGGGTCATGCAGACACCGTCTCTGCCTTTCTGAACACGGGCACACAGTTCACATGCACTCACACCATACACACACACACACATTCTCTCAGTCAGAGACATGCTGAAATGCACATGTCCCTAGTCTCACTGTGACCCAGGCGCCCCTCATCCCAGTGAGGCAATGGAAACAGCTTATGCACATTCCATTCCAAAAAGTTTCCTTCTCCCTGGGGCCTATCAGGGAATGGGGGTCGGGGATGCAGGGTCTCCAGTATTTCCATGATGGCATTCAAGGCTTCCTATGCACCTTTTCTCCACTTCCCGTCTCAGACCTCTAGCTGAGTCAGGGGTAGGGGGGTGAGGGGGGCACCTATGGACCCTTCCTCCTCTTGCTCGGCCTGGCCTGGCCTCAGAGGGGAGGGGGGAGAGGCCACATTCCAGGGAAGGCCCTGCTTGCAGGCTGGCAGGCCGCCAGCTCAGCCATCCCTGACCCTCATCCGGCCCAGGGCAGCGGATGCTGCAACCAGAGGTTTCCTTCCTGGCGCCCCCTTCTTGGATTCTCCCATCGCAGCAGGAATGGTTGGGAGGGGCAGGAATGACTCCCAGCTCAGGGACATCACCTGGGGTCGGGCATCCATGGCTGACCACTCCTGGGGAATGTGGTTACACAAGTTGACATTGTCAGTGTTGGAATTTTCACATTACAGGTAATGAAACTGAGGCTCGGAGAAGTGAAAGGACTTGCCCACAGCAAGTGAGTGGCAGAGAGAGAATTAGAACCAAGTCTGTGGGCCACGAGGCCCACCAGGCAAGCCCCCTTCACACCCCGAACACTCACCAACGGTTACAGTTGTCCCAGTAGGTTCCCAAGATTGGATAGACACGACCCCCATGCATACATCCTGGTGGGGGGAAGAAGAGAAGTGGGTGACCAGGTCCTCAGAGGGTCAGGTACCTGGACTCTTCCCTGCACCTCATCGGCCACCTCCCAAGGTCATATCAGTCACACACACTCCCTGTCGATCTCAGCAAGCCATCACTGAAACTAAAGCCAAACTATAGCTTGAGTCATCTTACTCTTGCAAGGTCACACGCCAGCTGCTACTTGAGAAGTTCATCAGTGACTCTAACTGGGATCCCTCTTGCTTCACTTGGATACTAGCCACAATATTCCTGGGATTCTTTGCCATTTAAATAAACTTGGAGATGGGAGTGTGAGAGGCACAGGGAAGTGGAGGCCCAGAAAAGGTAAGCGACTCCCCTAAGATAGATAACACGGCACTTTGGGATGATAACCCAGGTATGTAGTCTCCCACCCCAAAGACCCATGGAATTGTGGGAAGGAATTCAAGAGATTCTCCTACTGGACAGAGGCAAGTGCATGTAAATGGCGGAGAGGGCTGGAAGGATGAACAGATCTGACCCACCTCCCAGGTAGTCACCAGCTGTTTCAGGGGCACAGAACCCTGAGCAAAGGCAGAGGACTGGCTCAGATGACCCTGACTAACTAACCTTCTGTGTTTTATCAGCCTGATGGTGAGTCAGCAGGCGGAGCCAGCACCTTCTATATCCGGAATGAAGGCAAGACTGGGCGGAAGGGCAGGAGGCTGCCCTTTCCCTTGGCCCATTTAGAATTCCACTGACCAAGGATCTTCTGTCTCCCAGTCTTGCTGGAGAGATTCAAGTTGGACCGGAGGGGCAGGGAGTGGGGTAGGGTCTCATTCCCTGATCCTAAGCCGCCCCTAGAAATGTCAGTGCGTCAGCCTTGCTCCTGAACTTGACTGAGTTGGGGGTTGACACAGTGACCCACCCACCTGGCCATCTTGGTGCCCACCTTGGATGGGGGGAAAAGGGGGTGGCACGCCGAGGCAGAAGTCCCAGAAGTCAGGGCAGCAGTCGGAGACGGTGCGGTTGCAGAAGAGGTCACAGTAACAGGTAGCACCCAGGTAGGGCAGGGCGCAGTCGTCGGAGCGGCCGCGGCAGCACAGGTCCTGCTCCTGGCAGTACCGGCCACCCGCATCCCGGATGCCCCGCAGGTGCAGACCCGGTGCTAGTTCCCGGCGCCCACGGCCCCTCTGGGTGCCCAGGACCACCTCACTGGCCGGCAGCAACAACAATAGCAGCAGCCCCAGTGGACATCGCCACATGGTGCCTCCTGGCCCGGGAAGGGCAGCGGTCAGGGATCAGAGGTGGTGGGCAGCAGAGACCCCCTGGCACCCCAGGGCCCAATCTCCCAGCTTCCTGGGGCTGTGAGTCCAAGGGGGTTCAACAGGGTCAGAGACCCCGATTCCTGAGTCCCCAGGCAGGACACTCACGGGCAGAGGAGCGACAGGTGATTTGTCCTCTGGGGGGAGGGAGGTGGAGGGTGGGAGAGGTGGGAGTGAGCCAGAAATGAAGGCCCTCCCTGGTCTGCCTAGGGACCTTTAAGGACAAGAAGATGGGGTGTGGCATTCTTGGTACTCCCCACCCGGCACCAACCCATCTATTGCCCCGAGGTCTTCTGTCCTGCCCTGAGTCCTCTGTCCCTCCGTCAGCCTCTAGCCCTAACTTGGGTCCTTGACTTTGTGCCCTCGTGTCTCTCTCTCCCTCTGTTTTTCCTGTTCTCTCTCTGTCTCTTCAGTGTCCTTCTGCCTCACTCTGTTTTTCCTCTCCCTCTGTCTTGGTCCCTCTGCCTGCTCCCTCCTCCCCTCTGTGTCCCCCTCCGTCTACACGTTTTCCCCTCCGAACAGAGGAGAGACCCTACCTAGTGAGGAGTGTGGGCTGGGCTCTGGCTGCCCCACGCGCTGCCGCCTCCTCCTCCGGACTCCGCGACCGATGACCGCGGGACACTCAAAGTCAAGTGACAAGCGCGGGGCGGGATCGCCTTTTGTACCGCCCCACCCGCCGGCTGCCACGCCTGCTCGCCCGCCGCCGCCGCCCCAGCGCACAAGGACTGCGGGAGGGAGCGGCCGGCTGTTTGCACCTGGAGTAGCCCTTAACTCAGAAGCTGGGACTTGTGGGGTTGCGGGGGGGGGAACAGGAATGACAAGCACGTGATTGTCCTTGCTGGGTCTCCTGGGAGCCTTTCCCTTAGGGGGCAGAACTCCGACTGAAGCAGAAAAGGTTGTGGTCAGACACCAGGAGGGACTTCCCAGTGGCCTTCACTGTGAGACTGAGGGTCTTGCGCAGAGACCGGGAGATAGAGGGTGGTGGAGCTCTGAGTTTTGGACCTAAGTTTGTAAAGTCCAGGCTGGAAAATGATGGAGAAGTGCAGGTGACAAAAATCTTTAAGTCCCTCTCTGATCCCTCAAAAATAAACAGTCACACACAGCCCTCTCTTCATGGTGCTCCCCAGGCTTGGAGCCGCCCCAAGCCACCTCAGTTCCCAGGAATGCTTGGAATCCGGAGAAGGATAGCTTAGGACCCTGCAGACACCCTGACAGGTCATCCCCTAGAGGGAGGGGTGTGTGGTGTGGGGCTGCTTCCTGGCCTGGCGCAGCGTCTCCAGGGCCTTGTGATCCCTCTCTGGGTCTGCTCTTCCCAGTCTACACGGGCACCCCACTGAGCATCACCCCCTCTACCAACCCGGAGGGCATCCTGCTTGGCACCTGTCCTCCAAGGGCCCAACGGCAAGAGCCTGCCAGCTGGCACCCTCTGCAGAGCACCCCCCACCACGCCCAGGGCAGGGCATAAACCCTTCCTTTGCCCAGGCCAGCCTGGGCCCCAAACAATGGGGCTTCTGTCCCACCAGGCCTGCCGTCACCTTTTACCTCCCCACTGCACAATCTCCTCTCCTACAACAGTTTGGGCCTGGGCCAGAGGACTCTAACAGCAGGGGTGCTGAGAGGGAGACTACACCTGGACAGACACTCCCCCCTGTCCCTGAGCCTGAACCTCACATGCTGCCCCTGGAGGGAAAGCAACCAGAGTCCCTTTGCCCTCCCACTGACCTCCTGCACCCCTCTCCCAGCCTAGGGGGCATCCTCAGCTGGAGGCAAGGGGAACCAGGACAACAGGCATCTGTGGCTGGGTTACCCCCTGCCATGGGGCACTGGGCGTGAGTCATCCAAGGGGTCCTGCCCTGGTTGGGGGGAAGAGTTAATGTCCTAGGGCCCCCCGCACTGGCACTAACAACACCCAGGGAACTAGCCCATCTGCTCTCTGCAAGGACCTGGGAGGACCAAACCTAGATGGGAAACTGAGGCTCAGAAGAGGAACACAGCCAGAGCACAGGCTCCCTACCCACCACCACCTGACTCCCTTCCCCCAGTCACCGTTAGTCACCCACTACAGGTCTCAACACCTTCCTGGTTGGGAAGTCCCTTTTCATATCTAACTGCCATTCATGTTGCTGCAAGGTGGACCCCCTCAGTATTGGTGAATGTCGTATCCTCAGGTGGGAGATGGAGGCTGCCTTTGGAAGGGCCCGTGCCCAGGGCGCCCAACTGTGTGGACCAGTTTCAGTGTGGTTCTGGGCCTGGGGGCTGGGGGCTGGGAGCTCAGTAGCGTCTGGCCTGTCCTTTGTCCCAGATCACCCCCTATAGTCTACCAGTGTGAGTTGTGTGTGTGTGTGTTTCTGTGTGCACGTGTGTGTATTTGAGCACCTGTGTTTGTGGAGTGTTTCTGCTTGTGTGTATGTGTATGTTTGACTGTGTCTGCTTGTCTATCTTTCTGTCTGCTATGTGCCTGAGTATTTGTGTGTCTGTGTACCTGGCTGGATGTTAGTCTCTGTGTCGGTCACGGGTCTGTCTGTCTGCCAGTGTACTGTTTTGCTTGTACTTAATGTGCCTGTTGGCTACTCTGTCTGTGAGTATATCTTTGTGGCATCCTTGTGTGTTTGCCTGTGTCTGCCTGTCTGTCTTGCTAGGTATCTATGTATGTGTGTGGATTTGTGTCTCTTTGGGTGTTTTTTTGGCTGTCTGCATATCCTTGTCTCTCTGTCTGTCTGTGCATAGGAGGCAGGGACACAGAACAGGGGAAGAGAGCAGAGCCAAGAGTGTGGCTCAGGAGTCGCTCCATCATCACTGAGCTTGGCGCTGAGCCTGCCCCACTGGAATCTCGTGACTCATAGGGTTCCTTGGCCAAGAAGGAGAGGAAAAGGGCAGGGCCAGGGAAAGGGGGCTGGACACCACACTTTCCTTTTCCATGACCCCCGCCTTCCTGGTGACTCATTCTCTATCTTATTCTTGTCCAGAGCGGGGCCTTGACCAAGGGCCCGGGGCAGAGAACAGGTGAGGAGACACCCAGCAGGACTTACCCTCTGAGCCTTTCAGCCTTCCTGGGAGATCAGTGGCCTGGTCTCTGCGGTGACTCCCTCCCTGGTGACCCTGAACAGCCACTGCCCGTCCCTGGGCCTTGGTTTCCCAGTTGTACCAGATGCTCTCTAGAGGCCCTCTTGTGCTCCCTTCTGCAGAGGGAGGCAAACCAGAGAGGGGCAGTTACATGCCTAAGGTCACACAGCAGAGCAGAGAGCCAGGCCTCTTTCCCACCCAGGAGTCCAGAGCTCCCCCTAACCCTCACAGCTGCTCTAGGTCCTCAGAATGGTCCATTCTCCTCTGGAGGCTAAGCAGGGCTTTCTGGGAAGACAAAGACTTCTTGTGCCTCCCCGAGGCTGAGACATGGGCACACAGACTCTGCTCAACCCAGGTCCCCAGGCTACTCCAGCCCAAGGGCTCGGATGCTTGGGTCCCAAAAACCCTTCCAGCTAAGGCTGGAATTCTATGTGGTCCCCTGTGGTAAGAGCTTGGAGCAGTGACACCCAGGACTGAGTCTGGGATCCAGGCCAGACATAATGCTTTAGCATGTTGGGCCGTGTTCTGATATATTGGGCTTTCACGGGGCCTGACAGATTGTGCTGCAAAAAGCATCACGTGCAGGGCTGTGATAGACAGAACGTTGCACGTCCGTGGCATGCTGGAGCTTGGGGTAGATACTCTTTGCGGCCATGTGGTAGTGTGTTGCACCCTGTCACGGCATGCTATACTCTTTGATTTTCTCATTCATTCAACAAATATTTGCCGGGCATTTACTATGTGCCAGCTCTGTGCTAGGTGCCAAGTGTTCAGGGTTGTCTCCATAGGGCCACTTCTTTTGCTCTCTGTTGCATCAGCCTGGTTCAAGCCTCAGCATCTCTACTCTGGATTACACCATCACCTCCCACATGCTGTAGCATTAAGCCTGACCTGGATCCCAGGCTCAGTCCTAGGTGTCATTGCTCCAAGCTCTGTACGTGTCCAGCTTACTACAGGGGCCCACACAGGACCCCAGCAAACAGACGCAGGCCCTGCTGTTGTGAAGTTTGCAGTCTAATGGGAAGAGAGACAAATAAATAAGCAAACAAACCTATCAATAAGTCATTAAAAAATGTGAAGTGTTATGAAGATAAGCACATGGCACAGGAGTCTGGACTAATGAGGTGGTCAGAGAGGTCTCAGAGAAGAGATGACATTTGAGCTGAGACATGAAGGACAAGAAGGAGGCAGCCATTCCAAGAGCTGGGGGAAGGGTGTTCCAGAAAGCCAGACCAGCATGAGAAAAGCCCTGAGGCCAGGCCCAGTTTGGTCAGTTGGAGGAACAGAGGAGAGCCCAGAGTGGTGGACTAGAGTGAGCGAGGGGACAGAGGAGCGAGAAGAGGTTGGGAGGTGGGCTGCGACCACATCATGTCAGGAGCTTGAATTGTCTTCTAAGCCACTGAAGAGATTTAAACCTGGCAGTGATGGAATCTGATTTCCATGTTCAAAAGCCCCTTTGGGCTGTTCTGTGAAGAGCTGATTAGCACAGGGTTAAAGCAGATGCATGGGCTAAACATAACAATTGTGAGGATGGCACAAGACAGGGCAGAGTTTCGTTCTGTTGTACATAGGGTCTCTATGAGTTGGAACCGACTCGACAGCACCTAACAACAACAACAAAAAGTGGATGCAGAGAGGCCAGCTGGGAGGTGACAGTGTAATCCAGGCAAGAGATGCTGAGGCTTGAACCAGGCTTGTGGCAACTAGACAGAAAAGAAGTGACCTTATGGAGACATATTCTGGAGGTGTGTCATGGATTGAATCGTGTCCCCCCAAAATATCTGTCAACTTGGTTGAGTCATGATTCCCAGTATTGTATGATTGTATACTATTTTGTAAATCTGATGTGACTTCCTTATGTGTCGTAAACTCTATCATTATGATGAGGTTATATGTGATCTCCTTATGTGTTGTAAACTCTATCACTAGGATGAGGTTACAGTGATGGGGTCTACAAGATTGGATAGTGTCTTAAGCCAATCTCTTTTGAGATATAAAAGAAAGAAGAGAGCAGAAACACATGGGAACCTCATAACACCAAGAAAGCAGTGCGGGGAGCAGAGCAATGTCCTTTGGACCTGAGGTTCCTGCGCAGAGAAGCTCCCAGACCAAGGGAAGATTGATGACACGGACCTTCCTCCAGAGCTGACAGAGAACACATTCTCCTGGAGATGATGCCCTGAATTTAGACTTGTAGCCTACTGGACTGTGAGAGAATAAACTTCCCTTTGTTGAAGCCATCCACTTGTGGTATTTCTGTTAGAGCAACACTAGATGACTAAGACAGAATTTGGTAGCAGGAGCGGGGTGCTGGTCTAATAGATACCTAAAATGTGGAAGCAGTTTTGAAACTGTGAATAGATAGATGAGCGGCAGTGGCAGAGGACCAGCAGCAGCAGAGCCAGGAGACCAGAGCCAGAAGGCACTGGAGCTGACCAATGGAGCAAGAGAACTGAGTGCCTGTGCGCAGGAGGCTTCCTGGTGGAGTGGGGTGCCTCCAGGCACTTATCGGTGGAGCTACCGAGATTTGGAACACTTGCCCCAGCAGGGCAGATGCAGGCCTGAAGCCCGAGGGCCGAGAGGCCACAGGAAGCAGAAACTGAAGAGACAAGGAACAGAAAAAGCAAAGCTGCCTCAGTCTCAAAAGGTATGGCTGTGACCT